CTAGACATGTGCTCCATATCCGACGGAAATATATTCTATTGGATTTTGGATTTACCTGCAAAGTTCAAAAGAAAAGAATTACTCATTATAGCTACTGGATGTCAAGGAGAGCCCTACTGGATGTCGAGGAGAGCCTTTTGCTGCTGAGGCATGAGTTCCACCAGGGCCCGATAAACAGTTCGACGCATTTTTAGCCAATCATGGATTACTTCAGCGCGACGCTATATGTACCACTAGCAAGCAACGGGACCGTACGACGTTACCATACAACATAAACCTGGTATTGAGTTAGCTTTACAGTTTCCAAAGAATAAAAAAATTCAAGCCGCATTGAGGACCTATCTGAACCAAGAAAACGGAAAAAGAAACAGGAGAAAATAATATAAGAAACCACTACTTAGTAACCTAAAGCAAGCGCTGACAACAGCAGTTTTAATCTCACCGGTACCGTTACCAACAAAAAAGAAATCAAAAGAGAAAGACGAGCTAACCAGCACGAAAAGCTGCCACTTCTTCCTGCTCCTCTTGCTCCTCATCATCCATCTCACCCGCTTCTGAAGACGTAGGCATCTGGATCAATCGGTGAGACGATTTCCGATCGCGTTCATGAAGCTCCTGCTCGAATTCGCTCTCAGAATCTTCGGCCGTCTCAAACTGAATACGAAGTTTGCAAAAAAAATCCTCAATCAAATTTCTTACAGGTTAAACGAGAAATCACTAAATTCTGTATATAAATCTCAACTCAGTTTCCTAATGGAAATCAACGACAACACCTCCCCCACCGCTGGGTCAACAAGAAAAAAGAACATAAAATAAAAGATAAGACAGTAGGGGCATGTTCGCGTCCTGCACTACCTGATTTAGATCTCTACGAGTCCCTTTCTCAATTGTCACGGGCTCTGGTTCCAACTCGTCATCACTGCCATCACTTTGAGCTAAGCGTGAGCTCCCACGACCCGTCGACCATTCTACAACCTTTTCTTCTATATTATCGTTATCATCGGAAATCCGCTGGAACAGAAAATCGTGAGTAAAAAATGCCCAAAAAACGACGACAGCGTAAGATCACAGCCATCTTCGAGCGCTTACCCTTGATTCCGAGCTTCTTGCTTTCTTTGACCGCTTTTTGGGAATACCTGCTAGATCATCC